TTTTTAATTACCTCTTACTTCTCTGCAGACTATATGGGGACTACTTGAAATAAAACCGGAAAGTGTTCCAAACATCTTACAAAGCCTCACTGTGTTTCTTTAGTCCTTTCACTCTTTCCAGTCTTTCTGGAAATCAGCTTCCATGAAATCCAAACTTTTCAGGAAAAAAAAAATATCTGTAGCTGCACAGTTTCAGTAGGAGAGGGAAGTTTCTGACCTTGAATAAGGACATCTTTAGATATTGGAGGAAATACTTTCAGGATGTCCTCCGCTCGACTGAGAGCTCTTCTGTTGCAACAGCAGAGACCGGGTGCTCGGAGCCTTACTTACACATAATCATTCAAACATTATGCTGTTAACAGTTGAGAATGGAGTGGGAGATTGACTGAAAGATTTGTGGGTTTTTACCATCACCTATATTCACGAAATCTGCAACATGAACAAGATCCCAGATCCAAATATCTGAATTGACGAAATGATGTATTGAGTGCTGCCATCTGGACAAATTTCAGAGTAGGGCCGCTTCTGCTGCACATTGAGAGGAGTCAGATAAGATCGCTCTGACATTTTTTTTGGATGCCTGAATTGGGAGATATTCCAGGAACTTCCCACTGTGAGGAGATCCAGGAGACGCTGGAGGTCCTATGTCTCTCAGCTCCCCTGGGAACAACTCAGGTTTCCTCCACTGTTCCCAGTAAAAAGAAGTTCTGCCTTTGATGACCTGGTATAATATGATTGACCATAATTTAAGCCTAATTAATGGCTTAGCTGTTAGCCATGAAGCAAGGTGGTTCTAGGTTCACATCTCGGCCATCTTCCCTGTTCACACCAGGTTAATTAGTCTCTCTAAATTGTCCATTGTGTCTTTGCCTCATTGCGTACAATTATCACTGAGTACAAGCACCAACTCCCCCAACAACTCTACACCAATACACAGGTTTAGATAATATCATCATATGTGCTGTTTTTTCCCCTAATGCTGGTATTTTTTCCAACAGTGGAATTTCTTTTACATTCTAATCTGCCCCCCATCAAGATTCAGTGTCTAAAGCACACTGAATCTTGTGTCCCAGAACACCATGTAAACAGGAAGAGACAAAACCTTTGTTCTCCTGAGGCCTTGAATTTTCCTGCTAACTCAAAAATGTCAAACATTATGCCCCTTTTTTAAACAATCTACTATTAGAGCACAAACCAGCTATTGTGAGATAGGGCCTCCCTCTAGTGTCACAACATGGCTATTACATCACAAATGTAAAATCAGCACTCAAGCAATGGACAGCTCCAATACTGAAGAATGCAAAAATAGGGAGAGGAATCTACAGAACAAAAAAAAAAACATTTTCAAACTTCTGTATAAACTCAAGAGCTTCAGTTTTCCAGGCAACACTGCTAGAAAAAACATTTACCTCATCCCCAGGCAGAATTGATTGATGCCTCGTAATAAAAGGGCATTTGTCTTCTAGACAGTGTAAAATTGAGGCTGCAGTGGCCTATGCTTCCACACGCCTCTTGCCTGTACATGTGTATTCGTGTAGCTGGTCTAGCAGGCTGTGCAGACGTGGTACACTATTATGAAACAATAAAATCTAGACAGCTGATTCATATCTGAGCATAAAGGCCAGAGTTTTGTTAGGTCTCCCTTTAAATGAAACTCATAATTCTGCCTCCCTCTGTTGTGCTGTTATAGAGCGCAGGGATCGATCACAAAGAGAGATATCCAACTTACAACGTTAATGATTAGTTTCACACAAGAGCTGCATGTTGATAAAAAGAAACACCCCCATATGAACTGCCTTCATACATACTCATATCACAGACCGTAACCTAACTCGTAAAACTGTTAATACCACTCACCAGTTTTACATTTCACTTGTAAAACCTACGAACTGTTGAGGCTATCATGTGATAAACGAAGTGCCAGATAATTCTGAAGCATGCTGTGATCTAAATCATCTAGGGTTATTGTCTTGCAGAAAATTTAATTTCATCCTTCAGTTTAAAGATTTGTTAGGCTCTTAACAGTTTTTCTATAAGTTTTTCTTGTTATTAAGCTGAAATCATACTTACAGTTCGTAATATTTAACCAGTTTAACACCTTACAGATTATTTGTACAGCATTCACAAAGCAGGAGTTGCCCTTTAATTTACACTATTTTAAGTGGGCTAACACAATACATTCAAGTATGTAATTGTAATGTATAAACTGTGATAATAAAAAAAACATTAAACAGTGTAAATAATAACAGTTGCAATTAGCTTTGACATCACAGCCGTTACAAATCCAGTACCTTTAGGGTTGGTTTCTGCTCCTTAGGGGAGAATACGACCCTATCTCTCGTAAACGCTTCTGTTTGTGCATGTGCAAGTTGAGGATGAACAGCTTGCTCAACAGAAATGAAACAGAGACATGTAAACACAGGGGAGATGTAGCACCCTCCAAAAGCATTACTGTAAATAGATTTTTCAACAAAATAAGGGTAAACAGACAGATAGTGACAGTTAGTGAAGTGGTGCAGGGTTTATATTGGACTATAGCAGTCCATCCAATATATATAGGAAAAGAAAGGTCAATATTGAAAGAAAAGCTTCATCTCCTTTTGATACATAGACAGAAGAAGAGATAGAAATAGCAGATCTACAGGATCAGCACATTCAACCAGTGATCTAAAGTCTTTTTTTTTTATCTCCCTCTCATCTCTACAGCTCCATCCCCCTTGACCTAAGGGTCTTAACACATTCATACAACTCACTCCAGCTATCTCTCTGTGATGAGTATCTGCCCCTGTCAGCAGGTCTAAGTCACTGAGCTAAGCAATTTCCAGCCATCCAAAGAACCTCAACACATCTGTTTTCTTTTATACATATATATATATATATATATATATATATATATATATATATATATATATATATATATATATATACTTTAAGTACGTGTGAAAAGTATAAATAGTGCTGAATGATTTCATCCACGACCTTCTTGACCTGTATGATCAATAACTGGTGTACATGGATACCTAACTGTGAGGTACATACTTATTTCTGCTGCTTGCAATTCTCAATTGTCTTCGGTCATAACTGATCCAAACCATGGATTATCTGAAATAATCCAAATCAAACAGTCTCCTCCAGCAGCAGTCGAGTAGACAAGTACCACGTAAATCGTATACTCACAGCCGTCTCTTGGATTTAACCTGCCTGTTAACTTCAGCCCCGGAGGTTAGTAGGTAAGTGTACTGATGTTTGCTATTCAGCCAGCAGAGTGCAGACAATGCCAGTGTAGAATTATAATGACCACAATAGATGCGGTAGAGAAAATCCAGAGGATTTACCATGGTTCCGTTCAGTAGAAGGAAGGGATGTGGGGTAGAATGAGAAAGGCTGTTGCACTGATTTCGATTGTCAGTTTGCCTTTGGTGTGTCAAAATGTGTGCCTTTGTGAATGTGTTACACTAAATCCTTTTATGCTTACTCTTTGGAGAAGTTCGGATTTGTGTTTGCATGGGAAACAATTTCTAGTAAAACTTGCTGCCCTCTTGTGGGTAAATCTAATACCGCCTGAATAGTTTCCACAGGAGGCGGGACATGACTTGTGAATGTGTCAACTCTAAGAGTTTTGACACAAAACATGAGAAATGTAGATAAAGTTAAAATGAAGTTGGGTTTTCCTCTTACACACACAAGCATGCATTGCTGATAACACAAATAATTGCATTTATTTGTGAATATCACTTAAATATTTACAATACCAGCTTGTATGAGTTGTAGGATTGATTTAAACGTTGAGCAATTTAAACCTAATGGTCATACTTTTTAATGGCTCATCCAATATGTAATGTCTTTATGTTTTTTGGGTTTCATTGTTCCTCTATTCCTGTTTTTGCATCGTTTTGATTAAATTCCTTTGCCTTAACCATAGTTAAGAATGCTGCTTGGATTACAGGAAATATTGAGAAAAGGACAATGGGTAGGCAGGAATAAGCAGATATTATAATTAAAGAACTTCAATGATAATGTTCTGCCAAGTTATTTTAAAGATAATATGGTTTGGGGGGGGGTCTTCTTATATCACATCTTTTGTTTTCCAAGTCTAAGACCTTCCAACTTCTTCCACTGCAATCACCAAGCAGACAGATCTATACCGTGTCTAATCTATATCAGTAAAAATGTTTTTGTAGTATAGCTATCAATTAATGAGTAAACTGTAGGTCTTTAATAGCAAGACAAAGTAAGAGGAAAATGCAACAACACAGCATAAGAAAGGGAGATTTTCAGGTTGGCTAAAACAGTACAAAAACAGACCTCATCATGTACGGTAGCTATTTAAGGTATCAAAGGCAGAAAGTAGAAAAAAAACATGAATCTCTTTTTGGGATCTTAAATCAAAAGGAGTCCCTGTTAAATTAGCATGAGTTGCTGATATGTGTACAACCATCAGACATTGCAAAAGATTAGTGCCCAGTGCCCACTGCCCACAACCCTCAAAGTTAAGTAGAGGTTTTACACTATTTTGGAGCAAAGATTTACAAAAACTAGGCAAACAACAGCGTTTAACTTCACAGTGAAATGGAACAAAATCTTAGCCAAAAAGAAGGGGTAATAACAGAGCAATTCAACAGTCAACCTACCTGATTTACTGTAATTTGCAACAGAAGATTATACATTGTTTAATCCTCTTCAGCTATATGAAACAGTTGTTTAAAAAAGGTGCTATGATCATATCACTTGTTTTTCTACCTCTGCTCTGACCTTATTGCTTTTATTGTCTCAGACATTTATTTTGCTTGACTCGGCCTATCAATGTGTTTAAGAATGTAATGCATTTTTTTACACAATGCAAATAGTTCAGTAACGATCAGTATGTGTCATATGTTTGCAACCAACTGAGCAACATCCAACACACAACCTCATTCACATGATTCATATGACGTATTGGCATGTCAGGTGTATGTCTGATATTTCTAATAGAGAATGCTTCTAACACACAGATGACTTAC